AATTCTCTTACATTTCCTTTTGCCACATGATGCTATCAGCTAAAAACACCAGAGCGTGTGCACAAGTCATCCCAGTATTGTGTCTGCTCGCATAAATCACATGCGGCGCTGACAGGGTTTTCTTCTGTGATTGTGCCGGTGTTGACAGGAGGAAAGGGTGGAATTTGGTCATTATTTTTGGCCCTACCGTGCCTCCCCAAGCTTATTTTGACAAAAGAAGCCTGGAAAGCCTTTGTCTAATTGTCTATACATGTGTTTCCTCATTTGTTCTTACAGAACTGCCCACATTGCTACAAGCACATTTTATGACCTTTCTTGTTTATATCTAAACAAAACAAAACAAGAGATCCCCGCTCATCCCTAATTTGGTGCTAATCTTGACTGTCCTTTCAACCATTCTTGCTGTTTCTGATCACACCGTGTAACCGGTCAAAGTTTGACATTATTCTCCTGGTGGTGTTGAATTCCTCTCTTCTCCAGAATGACACAGCATGCCTGAAACGCTTGAGGTAGTTGTTAGCTGGAGCAGTATTCTATTAGCCGCACAAAGAGGGTGCCTTGCGGGACCAGTAAAGGGGAAGTGATTGCACAATAGCAGAGCCGGCCCCCATAATGTTCCAATAGAGAATAAATGGCCCTTGTGCACTGTCGGCGGCCTTGCGCTTTAAGTGTCTAGACTGAGCTTGCGTCCAATATTTGTATTAAAGGTAACCCGGAATGGGAGTTGTGAGGTGTCTTTTACTTCTGCTGCCAAATATGGACGTGGAGAGTGTTTGTGCTTCTGAGAGTCTGATTAACGCCAAGTGTACCAAACATGAGACTCGGGTCACATGAAAGAGGAGTTGAGATGTTTACATTAGTGCCACTTGAAACAAATGGGAATATTCATTTAGGGTATTAATTTGTTGTGATCATGTTTGGATCAGTCTTTAATTCCCTTAACAGCTTAAGTGGCTGTTTTAAGCATGAATACATCTCACTGATGCTGCTTATTTAGCAGTTATGGGGTAATTAGAAATTAAATGTTTCAACCCTATGACCTTAGTATTTTTTAAGAATCTGCACGGTTTTTTTGAAGATAGACAAAATATCACCTATTCTTGGTTCATTTAAGTGCTCCTGAAGCATGGCTGACCCGCTGAGGCATGGACTTGACTACTTCAGACCAAAGTATACTTCAGTTCCAAAATGCTCTGCACACTAGTTCAACACCTCGCTCCCCTATATAAAAATGAAAATTCTGTTGTTAATTATTCGCCTTCATTTCATTCAACTTCCCAAAACAATTTAAGATATTTTAGCTCTCACATCCTCCATGGGCAGCAATGGCCCTTTTAGTTTTGCAACTGTAAACTGTAAAAAAACAGAGCTCCAAGAACACTTTTGTGCACAAAAAAAGTAAAAATGACTGTTTACCTTTATCTTCTCTGCGACAAACTGGCGGGGTGAACTGGTGTCTGGAGCATTGTGGAAATGGTTCTGAGACATTCAAAATACTGAAAAGCAAACCAAAACATTGTCAATACATTCCATTTGATTTCAGTGGTGCGACTGTAATCATACAAAGCTCCAAGAGCTTTTGTACACCAAAAAAAAAAAAAAGGGAAAAATTATTATTTTTTTGTTTTTATTGGTCATAGTAAATGTACACTCTAATTTAATGCAAAAGACATCAGGCAACCTAAGGCTGCATTTACACTGCAGGTCTTGATGGTCAATTCTGATTTTGTGACTGGACCCCTTTTTTTTTTAACAAGCTTAAATACTTACTTATTCTACATGACAATATAAAAGCGTATTTAGTCCTCGTGTATGAGATTTTAGGTTTAGGACTAAAAGCTAAAGGTTAAAGGTTAGGCTAAAGTCTGAAATTAAAGTTCTGAAATGAAAGTGTCTGGCTTGACGTCATTCGCTATGGTTTTTAATGATGCACGACTCGCATTGACAGCTGAAAATCCGATCTACCTGCTAAAACTGCAGACACGAGGGCGCGGATCCGAATAATATCTGAGAAATTTCCACATATGAACAAGGCCTGAATCTAATTGAGTAAATCACCACATGGAAGAAAAAAATCGGAATTGAGTCACCAAGCAGCCTTAGTAAGTGGTTTTTACAGTGTTTTTGGTGCACCAAAGCTTTCTTTGAGCTTTTTATGATAACCGTTGAATCACTGAAGTTAGATGTTCTGACAATGTTTTTTTTTTTTTATTGCTTGGGTCGTGGGACCTTTGCTGTCTAGATCTAAGAGCTCCCTCATCCTCCATACACAGCAACAATCACAAGACACAAGGAATAAAAAACATTGTCTGAACATCTAACTTCAGTGATTCTGATTCAGTGATTGAACTGTTATCATACAAAGTTCAGAGAATGCTTTTGTCCACAAAAAAAAAAAAAAATTGTAAAAACCTGTAATTTTCTCTTTTTTTTTGGTGCACAAAAGTGTTCTTGGAGCTTCATATAATAAGAGTTGAATCACTGAAGTTAGATGTTCTGACAATGTTTTTTGTTTTTTATTCCTTGGGACTGTTGCTGTCTATGGAGGAAGAGGAAGCTCTTGGGTCTATTCTAAAATATCTTAATTTGTGTTCTGAAGATAAACAAAGGTCTTGGAGAGTTTAAACAGCATACCTGCACGTAATTAATTACAAAATATACATTTTTTGGCTGAACCAACACTTTCATTTTAGTCTTTAGAAATTTGTGTACAACAATGGAGGTGAAAGGTTAGCGTTTAAACAGAATGATTCCACTCTCTGGTTCTGCATGTGTCAAACCTGTCCATCCCTTTCATTTGTGCTTGAGTACACATTCAAAGCTGTGTGGACATGGCTGTGTGAGACTGAGCAAATGGAGCAGACACGGGCCTTAAAGGCGCCCATCTGGCACCAAGATATTGCTAGCAGTCCTGGAGGTTGTGAGGTGGATCAATCTCGTTGGTCCCATACATCCCACAGATGTTCAACTGGATTGAGATTTGGGGAATTTGGAGGCCAGGACAACCAATTGTACTCTTCATCACATACTTCTGAACAATTTGTGCAGTGACGGAGGGTGTATAATCCTGCCGAACGCCACCGCTTCCATCTGGGAACACCATTGGCAAGGGGTGTATTTGGTCAACAATAATGTGTTGGTTTGTATCACACATCCTATTTATATCAACATGAATGACCCTCATGTTCTCAAGCATCAACAAAATGTAAAAGAAATCTGGATTTTTTTTAAAAATAAAGCAACATTCTTCCATTGCTCCTAGTTCTGATACTTGCTTGCACTTGTGATTTCAGTAGTGGACAGGTTTGATCATAGCCATTCATATTTGGTACAGTATCTGGCAATGTAGCCCCACATGCAGAGTGTGATACATACACTGTGTATTGTGGCACATTCCTCTCATAACACATTCAAAATTTGTGTTATTTGTGCTGCAGTAAACCTTCTGTTAGCTCTGACCAGATGGGATATTATTCGTTCTCATGCCTTGTGCGCCAACACCCTTTTGCCAATTTATACCTCCTAAGATCATCGTTGTTAAATTTAATTTCCCACCACTGCAGACTGGGAGCAACCCACAAGGCTTTAAAAGATGCTCTGACCAAAAACTACTTGGCCCTTGTCAAAATTGATCAGATTTTCATTCCTGCCTATTTCTCCTACATCCGACAGATCTACTACCAAACTGACTGTGTACCATTAAATCTACCAACACAAACAGTTGAAGTCAGAATTATTAGCCCCCTGTTTATTTTTTTCCCCAATTTCTGTTTAACTGAGAGCAGTTTTTTTTAACACATTTCTAATCATGATAGTTTTAATAACTCATTTCTAATAACTGATTTTATTTTTGCCAAAATGACAGTAAATAATGTTTGACTCTTCCAGACACTTCCATACAGCTTAAAGTTACATTTAAAGGCTTAACTAGGTTAATTAGGTTAACTAGGCAGGTTAGGGTAATTAGGCAAGTTATTGTATATTGATGGTTTGTTTCGTAGAATATTGGGGAAAAAAATAGCCTAAACTAAAGGATCTAATAATTTTGACCTTAAAATGGCTTTAAAAATGTAAAACTGCTTTTATTCTAGCCAAAATAAAACAAATAAGACTTTCTCCAGAAGGAAAAAAAATTATCAGACATGCTGTGAAAATGTCCTTGCTCTGTTAAACATCATTTAGAAAATATTTAAAAAAAGAAAAATATTCAAAGGGGGCTAATAATTCTGACTTCAACTGTATATGTATTGTTGTGCTTTGTATATACATTATATCTGGGGTATAAAATTTGCATAATTCAATAAACGTGTGGTCATCTGTCAGTACATGGATAGGAGACCACATGGGAAAACTAGGTTTTCGGTGGAAGAGGTGTTAGTGAGGCCAGCATTAAATAATGCCCAGAGCCCAGTGAGCAAGTTTGGCCAGGATGACGGGGTCACGCCCTACTCTTCTTCGAAGGACATCCTGGTCAAACATGCTCACTGGGCTCTGTCCATCATGGTGCCCTAACCATTCCCATATAATCTAATTGGCATCATCATTCTGTCTCCTCTCCACCAATAAGCTGATGTGCTGTCTGGCGCAGGATGGCTTCCCGCCATGTCATCCAGGTGGATCATGGACATCGGTTGTTGTTGAGGAGATATTCCATTATTTTTGTAAAGCGATTTGCCCCGGAAAGCGATATATAAATGTAACTAATAATAATAACAATAATTTTTACATTTTTAAAACAATATTATTATTTTTATTGTTATTTTATAGAAAAAACACATCACGTGAATTTCACATTAACATCACATGTAAAATGCAGGAGACACATGGTTTTGAAACAAAATGAAAAAACCGACCATCTATGTGACTATTTATGTATCTTTTAAATGTTTTGATGTGTTTCACATATGATTAACATGTGAAGCTTGTGATGCTTGTGATTACTTTTTTGTAAGAGTAGTATTTATTATGTGACCAACTGAGTTTATTTTGTTTGTTTACAGGGCTGCATCAGACATGCCAATACTTGATGATGAGTCTTTAACTCCAAATGACTCCAGTAATCCAGTCCCAGCCGGAGGGGGAAGCACACGAGGGGTTTACCTGACTGTGCCGGCCAGCATGCAGAGACGTATTCAGAAATACAGGGAGAACCATGATGCCTTCCTGCGCCTGATCTCCCATGAGGCTCTGGGGAGCTTCAATCCTTGGGCAATAGCAGACAGGTTTGATTATAACCATTACTTCAATAATAAAATATCTCATGTTAAGGAAGCACTCAAGAGTGGGTTGAAGTCATGCAAATTAAATTTTAATATTAGTGAAAGTGAGTCAAATAGAATGAGTAAAATAAAATCTTAGTTTTTTTTAATCTTTTATTCAACTTTTTATGCCTAGTCATGAAACAATTTCTAATATATGTGCATTATATTACAGAACCAAAAATTGCCAAGTGAAACATTTCCCATTATTCTGATAACAAGCTTATAACTTAGCCTAGCTTCACCTTTTAATTTACATGTCGCATATATGGCTTAGGCTAAAATGGTTCATTCAAAGATTTTTTTTTTTTTTTGTGTTTTCAGTCTTCTGTTAGCAAAAGCTAAATTTTTGGCAATGCAAGTTTATTTATATAGCACATTTTATACACAATTATAGTTCAAAGTGCTTTATATTGAACAAAAATAAAAGAAACAAGAAAATAAAAATGATTAAAATAATAAAAAAATAAATAAAAACAGATTAAAATGCGTTAAAACAGGTTATGAAGGAAATACATAATAGTGTGATCTGTCCGACAAAACACCGTGCTTATTCAGTAAAGGCACAGCTAAACAGATGTGTTTTCAGTCTTGATTTTAATGTGCCTAATGTTGGAGCACATCTGATCATTTCTGGAAGCTGATTCAAGCTCGTTTTAACCTAAATGGATAAAAAATGAGCACTAATGCTAATTAACGCCAACAACTTTTATTCTTTACAAAAATTAACACAGAGTACGCATCAAATTATCAAATGAATAAATTACTACTAATGAACGTGAATACATGTAATGTAGAAGTTCTAAACTAATACTAACTGATTTTAACATTTGCATCAAATAACTAGCTCTGTAGTAACTTGTGATGCAATGAGTGACATAAAAAAATCTTGAAGGAGGCCAATACGACATATTTAATTAAGCAAATGTCTTTTTCTCTCAAATTTGCTTTAACAATGTTGGTTAGGGTTAAGTGCATGTTGCACATTATTTGGAAGCACAATATTGAATTAAACCTGTTAGCACTGCTCACAGGACATGTTATTTTTTAAACTTCAGCAATTCATGCTAAAAATCAACGTAACAAAACATTGCCAGATTCACTATCATGCTATTAGCACCACTTACTGAACATTTCAATAAAAAATATTCTAAAATTAGCAAGAAATACAATATAGCGCAGAAATAAACCACTTGTCCATTTTTCTTAAATATCTTCAAAAATGATATGTGTTACTTTTGTTTACTTACAAAACTTAATCAAGACACACCCCAATGTTCATTGAATTGCCATTTTATAATTGCCATTTCTTAAAAGTGGCATTTATAATGAAATGAAAAAATGAAAATTTATTTTGTAAGCTCTTTAGACAGAACAGTGTAGGTATAGTGTGTCCACAGTCATATTGCAGTTATTTAAAGACAATAAGTCTCTTTTCTGACGTTAAAATAGGATCCAAATCCTTTCCATTTTTAGGCCTATCACAACATAAGGTAGGAGTGCAATTTCCCTGCCCCCCCCAAAATTGATCTGCATATTAAAAAGTCTCCATATTAATGCATATAATCATATACACAAGACAGAAAGGCTTGAATTAACTCCATAACAAATAAATCAAATAACCATTGGGGAAGTTCATACTGTAGTAAGGGAGATCAGCTTCTTTCTTGTCTGCGCTGTTTATCTACATGAAGCCTATGGCTCTGACACGCAGATGGAAACAATGGATGAGGACAACCAGCTTTTTCACATTAAAGGCACAAGCAACAAAAACAGCTACAATGCCATAACAGCTCAAATTTCCCACATTTAAAAATGATATAATAAATAATATTATGGGTATTTTGAGCTGAAACTTTACAGACACATTCTGGAGACACAAAAGATTATTATTAAATCTTGAAAAAGGAATAAAATAGGTGCCCTTTAAAGCAGTCTCTTCAGTAAAAAAAAAAATGTATCAGTTCAAGGAAGCTACATAGCCCATCAACATCTATAATTAACTTATTCTACGCTGATTTCTACAATTTATTGTCATTATGACTTTGCCAGTGTTTAAGACACGTTCCTGGATGCGCAAACACTAAAAGCTCAGCTCTTCTATTTGCATCCAGAGCAACAGATTAGTCATAAGCCCTAGTGCGTCTCCCACAGTGACACAGCAAGTAGGAGTTGTGATTGTTTACCGCCTCGCGGCTATGATGATCCTCGCACACGATGCCATTTTAAATGTAAATATTAGCTCTTTTTTTGATGGCCACTAATGTAGAGCGTGCTTCTGTGCAAATGAGCGTCTTTGTTGTTCGGCTAGTGCTCCTGCACGCCCACCCCACCATTAGCATACTTAACAGAATTTTTAAGTTGGTGCAGTGTGGTGGTTATTTATCAAGTCCTTATGGTCCACAGAGAGCACACTTTTAACAACAGCGAGGAGAAGGAAAACAAAACAAAGAGTCTGATTCTAGGTCTTATTTGTCAGATTTAAACCGTGCGCCATGGGCTGTGTGGGTGGCGAGAAGAATTGCTGCAGAAATCTCATACGAAAGCTCGGAATCAAAAGTAGTTTTTTATTTATTTATTTATTTATTTGTTTTTGCTGTGTGCTGCAGCTTGGAAAAAAAATAAGTATGAGTTATTGCACAGATATAAAAAGAAATTGAGGGTCTATTTTTTGCAGAGGTCAGTGCAGCACCGCAGAGACTCGGAGTGGTTATTATTCCAGAGAAATAGAGAAGATGGGAAATGTCATGGCAATTAGTGCTGCTGCTGGGAACCGGTGTGGGCACTTGTCAGTCTGTGGTGCATTGTGGGTAATAAGAGTGTTGAAGGCAGTCAAGGCCTTGGGTGAGCACAGACTGATCTCTGGGTAGCTCTGCATTGAACTCGGTGGAAGTTAAGTAATTGGCTGAAAGGAAGACTTTAAACAATCTCATTGCTGTCTTCAAGATGGAAAGAAGGCAATTTTATTCTCTGATGTTAAGAGAACAGACAAAATGTCAAGCCTTTAAACCCATATACATACTTAAACACAAACATGTAAAGTATTATTGTTTATTAACAGAATTTTTTAGCTTTTATTTTGTACTTTTGTTCACATTTTTCCTCTCTAGTGGTTAAAAAAATGCATGGGTCTTGCTGACTGTGCATTGGTATTGTATTAATGTGCAGTAAAACGAAGCATTTTGATTAATTTTAAATCTTTTCCAATCTCTTCACCTTTAAAAACAATGTTGATTCAGGTTTTATTACGAACCCTGTCCTTTTTTTGCTTGGGTGTTTATTATTAAGTCTAATGATTTTGCCATTTTATATATCCACACCATCTACTCAACTGAGGATATGACAACACATCCTGTGCAGCCTATTGTTATACTTTGGTTTAGTTCATTTTGAACAAAACATATTTATTATATGTTTTAGTGACTTTAAAAAAGATATATAGCTAGAAGTCTTATATTAAAAAACATTCTATGATACAGTATGCATGAAACAGATTTTTGAACAAATGTATGGTGGCAACATGGTTCTATGCATTAGTTGTTAAATGGATTTTGAGATTTGGAGGTGCAGACGAGTTTCTAAATAATTAAGTAAGTCAAGAATAGGTCACTAGAGAGAAGTCAGACGTTTTCTTTATTATAGTGGAACATAGGCACAGATTAGCTGAGATCTGTAAAATGCATTTACAAATTATGTACAGTATTGTGATTTTATGTAGACTTTTCATTTTAGTACTTATCATTTGCTTTATCAGTTAATTCTTTTCTTCTATTATTTATATTTTATTTCAGCTTGATTCAAAATAATGGAAACAAATATGTTATTAAATATAAATAAAAATAAATATATACTTTTTGCTGTAGTTAGTTACAATGCAATATCAAATATATAACAAACATGATCATTGAGAATTAACTATTTATAGTTAGTTACATGCTTCCAAATGTAGAATTATTTAAATTTTTAGAAAAGGTGGAACAATTTAAAAGGGATGTTTTATCCAAACATTAAAATAGGATTTATTATGCCTCTTTTTACAAGATTTAAAATAAGTCTCTGATGTCCCTAGTGTGTGTATGTGAATTTTCAGTTTAAAGTACCACACAAATATTTTATATAACTCTTTGATACAGCCCCTTTTAGGCTTGGATCCAAGTTGTGCCATTTTGGTGACTGTTGCTTTAAATTCAAGGAAGACTGTTCCCAGACTTCTTTTTAAAAGATGCGTGAGCTTCAAATGTGTGTGTCAGCATAGTGGCAGATTCAAAACAGGACTAATGGTATCTCTATGAAAAACTGGAATTGTCAAAAGAAGTGCCTCAGAAGGCGGCAATCTATGGATTTTACAGTGTTCATTTGTGCATTCTGAAACTCCATGTTTATAATGCCTCATAGTGACTGACATTATCTTAGCCAGGTATACCTTGGAAACTCTAACGGCAGATGGCTGCTTCTCACTCAGGGCTGTCTATGCTAATGAGGGAGAGTTCATCACTAATGATTGCCACTTGTTTTTTTATCAGTAGAGTCCGACTATATTCACACACACTTGCTACACAATTGTGTTTATACCACTTATAAAAGTGATTTTTTAGTAATATAATAATTATTAATAATAATAATTAAAATAATAGGTCCCTTTTAATGTAACCTGAGCATAATGTACAGTTAGATTATAACTCCTGTTTCTCTTTTTTTCTCCTCAGTCTGGCTGATGAGCTTATGTCCGAGGCTCTGGCTGAAGTGGCGGCAGAGTTTCAGGATGTTTGTGAAGAATACGCAGAGGCGGTTTTCACTTCAGAGTTCCTCCAACCTGTCCAGTCTCCATCCACATCAATGTCATAGTAGCTACTCGATTTACAATGACATCCAGATTTTTTATGAGGAATTTAACATCGTATGGTTTGTGTTTTTGTATGATTTACATTTATATGCTTAATTATGGGAACCTTTTGGTTAGAGCTCTGTTTTTTTTTTACTCAAGTCCAGTTCTCATTTCTGTTGTAATGTGAAACCTTAGTGGGCGGTCTGACTTTTAAATACAAACAGATGCTTTTTGCACACCACTAACAAATGTCACATCAGTGTGACATAATCCATACACCGTTCTTTGTGCATTAGTCAGTGCATTAGTCTGTTGCTATTGAGCCAAGACAAAAGCCTTAAAAGAGCCTCTACATTATTAATGCATTGTGAATGATGAGATTTATACTGATGTCACACACAAGATCAGGATCACTCAGCCTCAGCTATTCCTGAATAGCATTAACGGATGCATTACTTAAATCCGCATCAAAAATTACTTTGTGGACACATTTCATACTCTTTAAAGCATATGTTTTGTTTTGCTATGCTAATTGACTCTCCATATGTTGCTGATTATCCCCAGCATTATCAAACAAGGAAAGGTGAGGTATTTAGTGTATGGCTATGCTTTTGTGTCAAGAGCCTGAGGGGAAAATGCCCTGCAGATGAGTCCAGATGTTGTGCTGGTATTCTGGGAATGTGCTTGATAAGGACAAACAGACCCAGAGTGCACTAGTCCCTACAAACACACATTCTTTCTATGGGGCAATGTATACACCTACAGCTACAGTTTATATTACTAGTTTAGGCTTCTAAAATTGAGGGTCTGTTTGTTTTTTGAGGACTTTGTGTTGCTTTAAAAGTATTGGTTGTCGCATAATTGCTTAATTTTATTGCGGTAAACTTATTTTAGGATACATTTCTTAACCTGTCAAGCTGCAATTTAAACCCCCTAATGTGAGTCACAGGTTTTTTCCAAACTACTTATTTGTGCCAAAAGCAAACTATTAGCACAAATGCCAACAAATTCCAGCTTTGTGCCATGAACTGATGTAATTAATGCTGTGAGACTGTGGAAATGAAGTCACCAGATTGGCATGAACTTGTTAGTTATGTTTTTATTTCTGATGAAAAAACCTGCTGTATTTATAATCATGATTTAATTTATAACTAAAATAAATGTTCTAAACTGACTCCAAACATCTCTCTGGACTGGTACATTGTACTTTGTGCTAGGGCTGCACGATATTGGAAAAATGCAATATTAAATTTTTCTGCAATAAATATTGTAATTTCAATAGTTCCACAAGATCAATAGCACTATTTGATGGTTTTCTAACAGATATGCAATGTTGAAATATAGTTGAGCAGGAGCTACAGGAGAAATTGAATAACCACAAAGCAAGAAATGTTTTTTTTAACTTTTTTTCTCGTTTCCAGTGTAAATATCAAAACATTCTTAGAGCAAGTCAAAATTTTGAAATAAAAAATCACAGCAGCAAATCGGCAAGCAATCGTTCATTTCAACGAAGAGTGAGCGACCTCCATCTACGCGAGCGACAGCGACCGTTGGTGACCAGGCAAAGAGCTTAGTGTCCAAACTCGGTTCAGGAGGGCCGATGTCCTGTATATTTTAGTTCCAACCCCAGTTAAACACACCTGAACCAGCGAATCAAGCTCTCTCTAGGTATACTAGAAACTTCCAGGGAAGTGTGTTTAAAGAAGTTGGAGCTAAACTATGCAGGACACTGGCCCTCCAGGACCGAGTTTGGACACCCCTACCCTGGCTTAGCATGACCAAGAGGCAACACTCAATAGAACGTTCCATTGCAATAGCAGCACCCAGCAACAGCCCAGCGAATCCGCCATTTTATAGTGAAAGTGATCGGCTGTCCATTGGATCGTATTGCTGTCGCGATGGCAAGCAGCTGCTTTGTTTTTATCTTATTTATTTAAAAAGCGCATTAAAGCTGAGATACAACCTAAAAGACGACAATACAACACTTACTATCACAATCATCAGCACTTTTAATAGTTAATTTAACAGACTTATAAAATGCTGTTTTTCTATTGGAATTTTCATTCCAAAATGGCCGCGGCGGCATCTAGTGGCTGTTTCCCAATTCGCACTAGTGTGTCGTCTCTTGGTGATTCTATGCTCTTTGGACCAGGCGAGTGTGTCGAGTGCCACAGCAAAGTTGAGAATCCTTCAACTTTATGCAAATAAAGAGCAACTTTCTTGAGCGACAGCCAGTAGGAGCACCAGTAGAGCTCATGTGATCTTCTTTCAGCTACTGTTGAGGCCCGTTGTATTCTCTGCTGTAGACCTGCGTTTGCAGCAAGTCACCACCCAAAAGCCTCATTAACACTAGCAGTGACTTTGTAGCTTCCTGTCGCTCTGAATGGTGACCTCCTGCAAACACAGATCTGTGTAGTTCTACTGCACGGAGTAATACAACTGGCCTCTAAACAAGCTGAGAAAACATAACCATGAGCTCTACTGATGCTCCTATTGGCTGGTGTTCAAGACAGTCGCTCTTCATTTGCATAAAGTTGAAGGATGCTCAACTTTGTCACATCTAGGCAGGATACGCGACTGGCCGGAAGTGCGATATGCACATCAATATAGCAGCATTTTTTATGACGCTGTTTGACATTGATTAATATGTTTACAGTACTGTGACGGTTGGGTTTAGTGTAGGGGAAGAGGTTTAAAATTTTAATTTATAGAGTAATTTAATAGATAGCATAAATAACAGTCGGTACAACTACTGTTTTTACGTTACTGTGACAGTTGGGTTTAGGGTTGGGGTGGGGATGGACATTAATAAAATACAATTAATGGGAAATATATTAAATTATATAAATTATTTTCAATAACTTCCAGTCACAACCATATCTGATCTAGCAACAACCACTCGACAGGCCCACCTGGTCTTCAACAGTCGCTGTCGTTTGCGTTGAAGGAGGTCGCCGGAGGTCGCTCACTCTCTGTTGAAATTTACGGTCGATTGTAGTGTGAATGAGGCTAAAGAGCTACAGGCAGCTACAAAGTCGCCGCTAGCATTTATTTGTTCTGGCACATTGTATTCCATGCCATGGATGAAATTGCTTTTAAATGAAAAGGGTAAATTAATTGAATTATCACATTTTTTTCCTGCACCCATTTGGTGTAATCAATGTAATCCATCTTTTTTTTTTCCTCCAGGTTGTTTCTCTGCTGTTGCTTGTACCAGAAACTCAATGCAATTTTCTGAGTAAGAAGTGTTTTGTCATTGGGTTTTCCCTGACTGTTTCAAACAGGCCAAGTCCCTAAAGGAGTCTGGTAATGCAACATAGGCAGTTCCCCAGAACTAAGCAACTCCAGACGTCACCTCCGTCAATAGTTATTTAGAGCTACCTGAGAACAGTTATTTAGGATCCCTGATGTGCAGCAATGCATTACGTAAGAACTGTGATAAATGTGTTCCTACTTTGAATTTGTAAAATGAATCAAATTAATTTTACAAGTTATTTCAACTTGCATCATTTAAACAGACTTAAAACAACAAGATACAATTTGAAACCTGATTAATTCATTGCAACATTGTTGTCCTGACTTTTTGATCATGTCATTTGTACAGTATCCACTGGGTATAACTTGGTGGACAAACATTTCTATCATACATACAAATAAACCTGTTTATTATTGTGAATGGCCCATACTTGGCCTTAATTTGGCCACTCAATTACTGTTTGACCGCAAGCACAAGACTCATTTTATAGTGATTACAATCTCACATTAATCAGCTGAACTGCTGTAAGACGGACTGTGATGGAGTTGGCTATTTAAAGTCCTGAAGATGAAGCACGACATCATGATTTATGAGCCAGCTAACATTTTGCACAGTCATCCTGCTATAGGACTGGGGGAGATATAGCGTCGTTTGCAGGGTGAGAGTATTTGTATTTCTGTTTTTCTGCTGCACTGTTTCTTTTGCTGTTCTGCTTTTGTCGGTGTAGATCTACAGTTTGCCGATGGGCATGGCCTGAACCTGTGCTCCCTATGCAACTGTTCATCGTATCACGCAGGCAATTGAATGAAAGCTATACTGTAGGCCAAATTTTGAAGCACTTTAGGGATTTTTAAGGCAACTGTCTGTCAGGGTTGTTTAGCTCTTGTTGAACGTTGTCCTGTGGGTTCTTTTTGCAGCAGTTTTGACTGAGATCTCAGGAGTTATGGCTTTTTTTCAGAGTCGGGAACAAATTATGTCATGTCACAAAAAACAAAACTGCAACAAAATCCCTGTAAAAGAAAACATCTGTCTAATTTGCAATTTACAATTGTAATATTGAAATGCTTAGTTAAAGTGTGTGTAATATTCTTACATACACTCAAAAAATTACGTTGCTGTTCGTTCAAACTACTTGTTTAAAATGGGCTAAAACAACACAAATCTTGAGTTTTTTTTTTTTAAGTTCGAATATTGCATAATTTGTACAATATAATGTGTGTAACAATACTTACAGTTAACTTACCTTTTTCATAAAAAATAGGAAATTCTTCTGACCTTATACAGGTTAGTAGAAAACTCTGACTATATTTAGTTCACACACAAAATTTAGGGCTGCACAATATATATCAATTAAGAAACTTTGTTTATGTGCCAGGAATTTGTGTGTTGTGTGAAAAAGTTTTCTTAGGGATTTATTATCCAAAGTTGACGAATACGATGAGGCTTTGCTCTCTGAATACCGGTTTCTCCAGACAGACCCAAAGTCCAAAAGTGGATAACAATCAGAGGTTTCAGTCCCTCATTGTTTAAATGTCTTGAATATCTGACATATTCAGAGAATACAAAAAAAAAGAAGAAGAATATATATATATATATATATACACACACATGTCATCAAACATATTTAGAAAAAAATAAGATTCAGATAATACAATAAAATTCAAACCAAAAATTGAAAAAAATTACAAACTACAAAATTTCAACAACATTTTGTATATTTTTGGTTTTGTTTAAAAAATATTTTCCCTAACATAAATTTGAGCCAATAAATGTTTATTGTAAAGTATTTTGCTAGATTAGCTCCAGATTTGGCTTTGTTACTGATTAATCTACAGTATATGCACAAATATAATATTCTAAAGCTTCCAATAGAAAATATGATTTTAAATGAGAGATTTGTCAGGGGTATACTTATATACGCCGAGCACTGTATATATATATATATATATATATATATATATATATATATATATATATATATATATATATATATTGTCTGTGTGTGGTAGTATGATCATTGCATATATTTTTTAAAATTGCTGAAATAAGATTTAGCTAGAAATAGTATTGCAATAGTAACACATGTCACACATTTTCTAAATATTATACTGATATAGGCTACATAAAAAATAATTAAACTAATTGAATTAAACATTGAATTGTAAAGTAGAAATGCTAATGTCTTGAAAGCATACTACAATTTATCATGTTTTATTAACAGAGCAATGTTAAACAGTGATGGCCTCGTTTTCGTTCCAAAATGGCACGTCTTGCGTGAAATCAACAAATCGGTCATCGATTTAATGTATTTTTCTGTTTTGTTTACTTAGTTAGCTTCTCTGACTTTAAAAATCACACCCTAGTTGACACAGTACTAATACAATGATGATCATAGGCAACTTTATTTTAACTTGTGTTTAGTTCTGGGACTGCAAAAATGATTTTACCTGTCAATAAAATGTCATTTATATCCTTAAGGAGGCGCTAGTGTAATATTTTTAAGTACAAAACTGAATAAATAAGTATCTAATAGATGACAGCGGGTGGTCTGGAGTCTGCATGAATACGCTTGGCGTTTTCCAAGTTGACTGCAGCTCGCGCAGAGCCACTGGAGGCAGTCGAACATCACATCTCGAGCTCAACAGGAGAAGACAACAGCAAAGTCTGCACACATACAAACAGCCCCAAGTCCGCGCGTACTTCAACACGAGGATTTCTCTCCGCGTTCATGGATACTCCCACATTCACATGTCATCTCCACAGCATCTTCAGCCATGAAACGCGCGTAGACTTTAAATCGCTTCTCCCGCGCGCAGACAAGGACAGAGAGAAGAGACGTGCGTACTGTCCAAACTAACTGCAAAGACGCAGGATGGCTAAAGAGACCAGAGGGAAAGGTAAGAGACGTCTGTGTGTGCCTTCTGTGTGTGCTGTGACATCTCCGGGATTGACCTGCAGCCGGCAGAACGAGTGGACAGTCAGTTCGCTCTCCTCACTTTCCGCGTCAATCTGTTGGAATGCACGATGAACCAGGGCTACGTCTTAAAAACCTAGTCAGCTGCCTACATACTACATAGACAACGTTTTTGGGGCGTCATGGGTGCATTCCATTGCGTATGACCAGCCGGATTATGTCTTGGTTTTGACAGGCGGCGTAAACGTTGGGATTTTTCCCGTCTTCATACAAAGTGGTCTTGTTTTCTGATGTTAAATGCTTTATGGATCTAGGGCAGGAAATGTCAAACATATTTGACCCGCCTCAGACCCCCTACCCAGACTCTCAGGCATTCAAGTGACCCCTAATACAAAAATATTAGGATTTAGTTTTTTTTTTTAACCTGACCAATGTTTATTTACTGATCATTACATGAAGAATCAGTCATAATTCCTGCACTGTTTTGCTTTTTAATACAAGACTTCAACCTTTAAAGTGTTTCTAATTTAGCCTACTTGATGCGATAGTGACTTGAAATTGAACAAATTTGTAAACTTATTTCTGCTAAGTTACTTGTAAGTAGATATTTGATGTTCATTACTGATTTCTCAGCTAGAAGATCGAATATTAAAGAACCAGATCAGTAGAAAAATCAACATTAGATGAAAATTATGTTTCTTTTTGTACAATTTTAATATATGACATAAACGAACATCAGATATTACTCTGTAATGTTCTTTATTTTGTATTTCAGTCATCAGTCCTCAGGCTACCAGATTTAGCAACTGATATATTAATGTTTTATTTAATTTAGATGAACAAAAAATGAGCTTGTAATGAAATCTGTGTCCAGATGTGAGTTAAGTGCATATTCTTTCATGTAATATTTTCCCTCAGGTTTTTTGTGACAACACATAGCCTATAATTCAAGCTATCATCTGACCATTTCAAGTCTCATCTGACTGCTTTTTTTCCTTCCAAACGGTGGTTTCTTATGACTGTACATTTAGTACATCTTTGACCTAATTTAATTACAGCTCAGCTGGAAGGTGATGATCCATTAGTCAGCTTTTTTCTCCACTAGTCTGCTTTAATGAACGAAGAGTGTAGCATGAAATTAACTTAAAACCAGACAAAATGTGGTCTTCAAAAACCTATAAGCCCTTCAGAGTGCATGCTTTACATGTCAAGTGATTTAGAGAGGTGTGTCTGTATGCATTCAGTGTTGCACCTAATCTGTTCCTGTGAAAAGGTGGATTGGCCACAGTGAGAGGAACTAATCAAAGAGATGCCTGATACAATTCAAGAAAGCCTAAATGTTGAAAGAGGCTGATGGGAGAGGCGAAGTCTTCAAGTTGCACATCCTGTAGGACTCTCTGATATGATTGCTTTGAGTCTAGGGCTGTACAGAGCATCTCAAAATGCATACATCCACTTTAATCTATTTATTGCATCACATCCAGTCCAAGATGTCAGATAAATTATTGATCTGGGAGAAGGCTTACCCTTTGCATTTTATGATTCGAAATGAAGGTTAGCAATTAATGTGGTTCTGCTGTGTTTTTCTGATAGTGTGATTCACTTTGGCGACTGAGGTATACAGATGGAGGATATTCTTTATATATTTAATTTTAATCAGCTTCAATTTTAATCAGCTACCATGCTTAAAGGAGTAACCCAGAAATGAGTCTTGCATATAGCCAGATTGCATATTGCAAGATTAAAGCAATCAACCACATTATTTTGTTATTGTCACGTTTAGGGGCATAAAAATGTAATGTCTAAAATAACAGCTTGGTATACACTGGCCACTTTATTAGGTGTATTTACTAGTACCAGGTTGGACCCGTTTTTCCTTTAAAATTGCTTTAATCCTTAGTGGCATAGATTCAACAAGGTACTGGAAATATTTCTCAGACATTCTGCTCCATATTGACATGATAGCATCATGCAATTGTTGCAGATTTGTCAGCTGCTCATCCATATTGTGAATCACCTATTCCACCACATCCTAAAAGTGCTCTATTAGATTGAGATCTGGTGACTGTGGAGGCCATTTGAGTACAGTGAGCGCTTAATGACATGGTGTGTTATCCTACTGGAAGTAGGCTGTAGTGTTGACATGCTGCTCACCAAAGTGTGCCAAGAAAATATCCCCCACACCACCACTACCAGCCTGAACCGTCGGATGGATCTATGCTTTCATGTTGTTGATGCCAAATTCTGCCTCTGCCATCCCAATGTCGCAGCAGAAATAGAGGCACATCAGAGCAGGCAACATCTTTCCAATCTTCTTTTGTCCAATTTTTGGTAAGCCTGTGTTAATTGTAGTCTCAGTTTCCTGGGGTGGCACCCGGTGTGGCCTTCTGCTACTGTAGCCCAGCTGCCTCAAGTTACTGTTGCCTTTCTATCAGCTGGAACCAGTCTGGCCATTGTCCTCTGACCTCTTGCTTTAACAAGGCATTTGCACCCAGAGAACTGCCACTCACTCAATATTTTCTGTTTTTCAGACCATTCTCTGTAAACCCTAGAGATGGTTGTGTGTGAAAATCCCAGTAGATCAGCAGTTTCTAAAAATTCTCATACCAGCCTGTCTGGCACCAACAACCATGGCACATTCAAAGTCACTTAAATCACCTTTCTTCCTCATTCTGATGCTCAGTTTGAACTGTAGCATCATCTTGACTATGTCTACATGTCTACATGCGTTGAGTTGCTGCCATGTGATTAACTTATTAGAAATTTGCGTTAACAAGCGGTTGGACAGGTGTACCTAAAAAAGGGGCCAGTGAGTGTAAACCACTTGGATGCATTTTAAAAAGTCTATGCTGAAATTTACACTTACTCCTGAAAACCCAGCATTTAATTGCTTTTTATTAAAGCTAAGTTGAGTTTAGCACGTATGATGCCAAAACCCAAACAGACGCAATTCATTTGTCGTTTGCTGCATCATGGTTTTTTTATGGGTGCTTTAGGTTTAAGTGTAAAATAACATCTGTGGTTAATATAACGTCACAATAATTAACCACTTTAATAATTTTGGTATGCAGCATTAATTAGACACATGTATACTGTCACATGTGGTGTCCCTCAGGGTTCAAGCTTGGCACTTTTTTTATTTCATTGTATATATGGTATGGGTGTCATATCATTGCAATGAAGATGACACTCAGCTTTGCATACCATTCAGGCACTATGACAGGCCTGCTATAAATCAACCAATGCCTGTCTCCTGGAATCAAAACATGGTTAACCATTATATGCATCTGATTTATGCCAAAATTCTAATTTTTCTGGTTGGATATACTTACCGAGGAAAAAAACCTGATTTGAGTTCTATTGACTTAAGCTTTCTCATCACCTATCGCTCATTCACTGCCAATGATTTTGGTTTTCTTTTTGGATAGTGGCCTGAAGCTGAATAAACAAATCAATTCCTTTGTCAGGTCCAGTTTTTATCACATTCAAAAACTAGCCAAAGTGAAACCCTTTCTAAGTGGAAAGAAATAGAATTAGATTTTAATTCATGCTTTTATTTCATCACAGCTTGATTGCTGCAATTGACTCTATTATAGGCTGCCTGTCTTATCAATCAATAGACTTCAACTGGTTCAAAACACCATTGCCCATCTGCTTAAGAGAGCTACAATATAGACCACATCATGCCTATTTAAAGCTCTCTGCATTCTCTGTCTATCTAGACTGCATTACAGGTTTGATAGAACTTTTGAATTAGCTGGACCCAAGTCGGGCTGCACGGTGGCGCAGTGGATAGCAAATTTGCCTCAAAGCAAGTTGGTTGGTGGTTCTAGCCTGGGCAGGCGTTTCTGTTTTAGAGCTTGCATGTTCTCCCCGTGTTCGTGTGGGTTTCCTCCGGGTGCTCCTGTTTCCCCCAAAAGTCTAAAGACATGTGACATAGGTAAATTAGGTAAGCTAAATTGTCCGTAGTGTATGTGTGTGAATTAGTGTGTATGAATGTTTCCAAGTGATGGGTTGCAGCTGGAAGGGCATTCACTGCGTAAAACATATGCTGGATAATTTGGCGGTACATTCCTCTGTAGGGGCCCCAGATTAATAAAGGGGCTAAGCGGAAAAGAAAATAGATGAATGAATGGACCCAAGTCATAGAACAATCAGCCACACTTTAATAAAACTTGCTACCTATTATTTTTTTTTGTCGAATCACCATAAATAAATGTAGTTACACTTTGTACAACTAAAATATTTTTTTTGAAACCTGATTACCTATTTAAAATAAGTTAAAGTAACAAAAAATCTATAATTTTTTACAGTACATTATCCATTAAAAAAAGCCAATACAGTGTCATAGTTGAAATATCTGTTGGTATTCTTTTGCAATTTTTGTACAGCACCTTGGTTAACTAAGATTGTTTTAAATATACTTGTAACCCACCGGTCCTACTGCACCCAACCCGCTCTGAGCTATGATCGAACCGGCAATTCTTTGCATGGGAGTCGTTTGTTCTAACAAGGAGGCTAAAGACCATGAACCCTAGTGTCTGTCGCCAGAGCACCTTTTGAGGTCAGAGGAGTGAGGTTTACTTGCATAGCACTTGACTAGCTGGCCTCAGTTACAATCACCCCCTAAACCTTACTTCTATCCCGGACGAGCCCCCAAGTTAACTGACCTGTCCTAATACACCCAATCCGATCTGAGCTGGAATCAAACCGGCAATTCTTTCCATTAGAGTCAGTTGCTCTAACAAGGAGGCTTAAGACCATGGACCCTAGTGTCTGTTGCTAGAGCACCTTTTGAGGTCAAAGGAGTGAGGTTTACCTGCATAGCACTTCACTAGCTGGCCTCCGTTACACTGAAACCCCTAAACCTCATTCCCGTCCCGAACAAGCAACCAAAGTGTAACTCACCTGTCCCACTGCACCCAACCCGGTCTGAGCTAGGATTGAACCGGCAGTTCTTTGCATGGGAGGTCAGAGGAGTGA